GTATTGGGGAGATTGGTATGGGGGGACAGGGGGTGCTGGGGGTACTGGGATTGGGGAACAGGGGTATTGGACATTTTGGGATGGGTGAACAGGGGGACTGGGGGGACTGGGGGGTGTGGGAAGGGGATACTGGGATTGGGAAACGGTACTGGGGGTACTGGGATGGGGGGCAGGGGTTACTGGGGGCACTGGTGTGGGGTGCAGGGGTTACTGGGAGCACTGGGATGGGGTGCAGACTTTACTCTCTCTTCAGGGAGAGTTGCTCCTCCAAGCAGAGATCCTGCAGGATTCCTTCATTTTTACAATTTTTTTTTTAGGAAATTCCATTTTATTTTGGGAAGAAAAAAAAAAAGTAAAATTCTGTCATTTCTATTCCGCAGTGACTTCACTTCTTAACATAAAAATCCACCCTGTCCTTGGTCCCTGCTGGGATGGAAAAAATCCATGTTTTTCTCTTGGAAATTACCAATTTGGGAGAAAATACCAATTTTGCCCCTGCAGGAGGATGAAATTCCATACATCCAGTGGAAAACTTCTGGTTTGAAATGATGGAGCTGGAAAAGCCATGGCAATAATTCCATAAAAACTGCAATTGCTCCATCCTGCCAAGTGAGAATTGGAGGATTTTTCATATATGTTTTTCTCCTGAAAATTCCAATTTGGGAGAAAAGATCCAATTTTGGAGAAAATACCAACTTTGCCCCAGCTAGAAATTCCATAAATCCATTCTGGTTTGAAATGATGGAGCTGGAAAATCCTTGGCAATAATTCCATTAAAACTGCAATTGTTCCATCCTGCCAAGAGAGGATTGGAGGATTTTTCCAGGCTGGCATCTCTCAAAAAAATTAGATTTTTCCAAAGAAATTGTGGTTGCTCCATCGCTGGATGGGGCTTGGAAAAATTTGGGATAGTGGAAATATCCCTACCCATGGAATTGGAGGAGTTTTAGGTCCCTTCCCACCCAAACCATTCCATGATTCCAAGATTTTTGCCAGGATCAAACCTTTTGGAAAGAGCTCGTCCCTGCTGGCTCCAGCTGTACCTGGTAAAGAGCAATAATCAATGTCAATAATTCATATTTAAACTCAATATTTAGAAATCTTCAGGGTAATATTGCAAAATTATCAGCTGAGCAGCACAAGGAATTATTTTTTTTTTAAGAATGAAGGAACGAAATTGAGAATTTTTGTGAAAAACAGAGGGGGGGGATGGCAGAGATTTGAAAAAAATGAGAATTTTCTGCCTTTCTTGTCACCTTTGAGTCATTTCCTGAGGAGTCTCTGTGGTTTTACAGTTGCACCACTAAATTCAAATAAGCTGGGTTCAGTTCAAGCCTTTTTTCAGGGCTGTTTTAACTTTAGGTCTGACTTTAAGAAGCCACCAGAACTATTTGAAATGTTTGGCATCACCACTCGAGCAGCATCATGGCTTCTAAAGGTGCAAGACGCCAAAATTGCTAAAAAAGAAAACCAAAACCAAGAATAAATCAAACCAAAAAGCAAAAATCTTAACTGGGTTGGGAGCACTGCATGAAGACTCCATGAAAAAGCACCGAAAATTCTCTTTCATGAGGTATTTTTGATGATTTTCACGAATTTTTGGACAGAATTAACAAAATTAAAGGGGAAATAAAATAAACTGCTCTTTCATGGGGTATTTTTGGTGGTTTTCACCATTTTTTGGACAGGTGTGACAAAATTAAAGGGAAATAGAATAAGATTGGGCCTTAAAATTAAAAAAAATCACCAAAAATAAAATAAAATAAAATAAAATAAATAAAATAAAATTTGCTGTGAGATCTTAGAGATTAAAGGAGTTTTTCTTGAGTTGAGTGAAGAATGGGGCAAGGGGGTGACACCCACCTTAGCACTGATGTGGAACAAAGCAAAAATTTGGGTTAAAAGGTCCAGATTTTGCATTTTATGCTTCTTTTTCTTTTTTTTGTTTGGTTTGACACCCCTTTAGAGAAAACAGAGCAGAAATGAGGGGAGCAAATTTCTGCCCACTTGAGCTGATGAGCAGAAAACCACAGAATTTGGAGAAAATTGGAGAGATGGCTGCCTTGTTGTCAAAAATGGCTTCAAAAATGGATGGAAGAGACAGAAATGATCCCAAACTTTAGGAAAACAAGGGAAACCAACCCAAATTCTGATGTCACAAATGACGTGGGAGGGTGGTGAGGCCTTGGGATGGAATTCCCAGAGAAGCTGTGGTTGCCTCATCCCTGGAAGAGTCCAAGGTGAGGTTGGAAAAACCTGGGATATTGGAAGGTGCCCATGGAAGAATTCCTGGAATGTGGAATTAGGAGATGTTTAAGGTCCCTTCCCACCCAAACCATTCCATGAGCATAAGGAAATAGGAGAAAAATCAGCATTTCCATGATAATAAATAAGAGAAAAGCAAAGAAATTCAGCTTTTCCATGAATTTCTGGGATTAACCCAGGGCAGGAGAAGGATCCTCTCTGGTGTTTGCAGGTTGTGCTCTCACCCTGGGCTCCTGGCACTGCTCCACACAGTCAATAATTAATAAATTGATTTGCTTTACCCTGATGTCATCAGGAACTGCTGCTCCCACCTCCCACTCGAGCCATTCCATTGCAACTGTTTTCCTTCACCGACGGCATAATTCCATTTTTTTTCTGAATAAAAGAGGGAAATAAAACTCCAAATGACGTTTTAAATTCACATTTAAGTACGCCAGAACCTTATGAGTCAAGGTTTCAAAGAAGCCAAAAGAAAGCCTTGCCAGGAACCAGGTCCCCACCACGGTGACCTCATGGGCTTGGCTTGTCACCACCCTAAAAGTCATGAGGCACCAAAAAGGGACAGAGAAACTCCACTTAAAAATGACCTCCAGAGGCTCCAGTTCCTCTCCTCAGCAAAATGAAGAAAATAATTAATCTTGGAAAAGATTTTTAGGATGATCCAGTCCAAACCACCGGAAGTGCTGCTGATGAAATTCCTTTGAATTCTTTGCTTTTCTCAGCACTGAAAAAGGAGCTGTCACATGAAATTCTACATTTCCTCACTAGAAGTAGCTCCCAACACTAAAATACTTGGATTTCATCGGGACAGTGACTGGATGATCCCACTGGAGGTGGAAGTTTGGATGTTCCAACTGCAGATCTGCTCTTGAGATGCCCCAAAATCACAGAGACCTCCTCATACCTCGTCGGTCAAGGCTGTGGATTTTTCCCCCTTTAAGGGCAACCAGGAACATATTTCTGTCTCAGCAAGAATTCCAGGTTTTTATCTGCCAGAAGGAGCTAGAAAAACCCATGAATCTGGCAAATTTACTGTGATAAATGCTATAAATAGCATCTATTTATTAGTTAAATAAATAATAAATATTTAAAATAGTAGGAATACATATTAAATAAATAAGATTTGATAAAAAAAATAATAATAAATAAACAGTGCTACAAAAACTGGTATAAATGGTGCCCTGCCCCAACAAAAAAATCACTTTTTCTCCCCCCAACTTAATTTTTTTCACTGGGCAGCAGCACTTTGCACTCTGCTGCCACCGTAGCAAATTCTTAGGGTGGGTGAAATATCCATAAGGGCACATTCCTGACTTATTTGGCTAATAAGTGACTCATAAATGAGTTGGCCCATTGTTGTTCCTTATGTTTGAATTTGTTTGCCAATCTTTCCTGCAAAGCTCAGCAGAGCTAAAGCAGAGCCTGGGCACCGAGCATGGAAACAGCTCAGCAAGGATCAGGAATCAGCCTCTCCATAAATTTATTATGGGTTCAGCACCATGGATCTCGTTGCCAAAAGGAAAGCCAAGTGGAATCCCCTCCAAGACTCCTTGCTCAGCCGAACACAACCTTTGTCCCAGCGTTCAGGACGGGGTGTTCCTAAATCCTCTTGTGTAAGAGCTTGGGCAAGTCCAGATCTCCCTGTTCCCTGCTTGAGTCGATTGCAACATTTGTCGTTGGATGTGTTTTTGGTGTTTTTGCCAAGCCTGGTGAAGCCTAAAAATGATCCTCGGCTTCCTCTGTTCCATGTAGGGTTCAATACTGGGGTGAGGCAGCTCAGAACCATCAGAAGGGACTTTCATGAACCCCTTCCTTGGTCCCCTCAGAGCCTTTTACCATCACTTTCTATCTGTTCTGGCCCAGTGTTCTTCCTCAGCCCCTCATTTTGGCTCTTCCCTCAGTCCCCTTCCTCTCATTCCTTGTTTATAATTCCTTGTTTCTTGATTCCATTTTCCCTCACCCCTGACATCATTCCTTAAACCCCTTCCCTCACCTCAGTCCTTCCCCCTCAGTGCCTTCCCTCAACGCCCCCAAAACCCCTTCCCTGATCCCCTCATTTTGGCTCTTCCCTCAGGACCTTCCCATCATTTTCTATCTGTTCTGGCCCAGGGTTTTTCCTCAGTCCCTCATTTTGGATCTTCCCTCAGTCCCCTTCCTCTCGTTCTTTGTTTTCCGCACCCCTCACATCATTCCTTAAACCCCTTCCCTCACCTCAGTCCTTCCCCTTCAGAGCCTTCTCTCAATCCCCCTAAAATTCCTTCCCTGATCCCCTCAGGGCCTTTCACCCATATTTATTTCCTTTATCCATTCTGTCCCCTTCCCTCATCCCCTCTCCCCATTTCTCTGTTACTCACCCTCATCCTCTCAATCTTCTTCCCTCACCTCAGTGCCTTCCCCAGATCTTTGGTTTGGATCATTCCCTCACAACATTCCTTAAACCCCTTCTTTCACCTCAGTCCTTGCCCCTCAGTGTTTTTCCTCAGCCCCTCATTTTGGCTCTTCCCTCAGGGGCTTCCCTCATCATTTTTTAGCTGTTCTGGCCCAGTGGTTTTCCTCAGCCCTTCATTTTGGCTCTTCCCTCAGCCCCTTCCATCAGGGCCTTTGCCCATCATTTTTTAGCTGTTCTGACCCGGGGTTTTTCCTCAGTTTCTCAGTTTGGATCTTCTTTCACCTCAGTCCTTCCCCCTCAGCCCCTTCCCTCAATCCCCCCAAAACCCCTTCCCTGATCCCCTCAGCCCCTTCCCTTTTTGGCTCTTCCCTCAGCCCCTTCCCTCAGGGCCTTTCCCCATCTTTCTTCATCCATTCCATCTCCTTTCCTCACCTCCTCACCCCATTTCTGTGTCACTCACCCTCATTCCCTCAGTCTTTTCTCCTGCTCTGAGCCCATCACTCACTTCAGTGCCTTCCCCAGAGCTTTGGTTTGGATCTGTCCTCATTCCTTCACATCATTCCTTAAACCCTTTCCTTCACCTCAGTCCTTGCCTCTCAGAGCCTTCCCTCAATCCCCCTAAAACCCCTTCCCTGATCCCCTCAGGGCCTTCCCCCCATATTTCATTATCCATTCCATCCCCTTCCCTCATCTCCTCACCCCATTATTGTGTCCCTCACCTCAGTGCTTCCCTTCAACCCCCAGCCCAATCCCTGTTCCCGATGTCCCCTTGTCCCCCATGGATTGGGATACCCCCAAAGTCCCTCACGGGGTGCCTCCAGACCACACACACACACACACACACATGGAAATGGATGTCTAAGCAGAAAAAAAAAAGAAGATAAATAATTCAGTTTTTCTGCACCATGCAGAATCTGCCCAGATCAGCCCAGCAAGGAGAGAGTTTGTCCTTGAGTAGTTGTGGGAAGAGTATGGAGGGGCTGAGGGGATCAGGAAGGGGACTGAGATAAAATACTGAGGGAGAAGGACTGAGGGGAGGGAGGGGGCTCTGGCCATGAGGCAAAGTGTGAGGGGTTAGGGAAAGAAATTTTGGGACTGAGGAAAGGCCCAAAACAAGGAACACAAAGGGAAAATACTGAGGGGGAAAGATTGAGGTGAGAAAAGGAGCTCTGGCCATGATGTGAGGGGACAAGGGAAGGAGTTTGCGGACTGAGGGAAGGTCCAAAACATGGCTCTGGGGAAGGCACTGGGATGAGCGCTCAAAGCAGGAGAATGAGGGAAGGGGCAGTGGGAAGAGCTGAACAAACATTGAATTGGTCAGGAAGGGAATCGGGGGAAACTGATGGAAGACCCAAAAGAGGGAAAACACTGATGGGGAAGGACTGAGGAGGAGAAAAGGGTCTCTCGCCATGATGTGAGGGGATGAGGGAAAGGGCAGCGGGAAGAGCTGAAGTCAGGCATGGAGGGGCTGAGGTGATGGAGGAGGAGGCCAAGGCAAGACTGGGACAATATCCCCACCAAGGGCAAACACCGATGGCCGAGCCAGGAGCTGACAACGAGGGAGCAGAGCCGAAGGACGGAAGAGGAAAAGCCGGCTACGGACAGCCAAAGGCCGGTGACCGCGGGAAGAGGAAAACCCGCGGGCGGCCCCTCGCTGTCTTTCCGGTTCAGTTTTCACTTTCTGTTTTTTTCCCCGCTGCTCCCGCTCCCGCCCCTCGTCCCCTCCTTCCCTCCCTCCCTCCCTCTCTCCCTCCTCCCCCGCCCGCTCCGTCCTTCCACTTCCTGGGGCCGGCGGATGGCGGGGGCCGCCCCGCGCCGCCTCATGCCGCCGGCCCGGTAGCGGCGCCGCGCCGGGGGCCGGGCGGGGCGGCCATGAGGGCGGCCTGAGGGACGGCTCCGGGCGAGCCCCGGCCATGGGCGAGAGGCGGCGCGGAGAGAGCGGCGAGGCGGGCACGGGTAAGCGGGGCCGGGGAGTGAGGGCGGGCGGCTCCATCGCTGCCTTCTCTGCGAGTTGGGCGGTGGTTACCGGCTCCATGCCGCTCTTCCTTTGGAGAGGGAAAGGCGACCGGCTCCATCCCGCTCTTCCCTGGGAGAAGGGAAGGCGAGCGGCTTCATTCGGCTCTTCCCTAGGAGGGGGGGAATTCTTGGCTCCGTGCCGCTCTTCCTTTGGAGAGGGGAAGGCGACCGGCTCCATCGTGCCCTTCCTTAAAGAGAGAGGGTTCCCGGCTCCATCGTGCCCTTCCTTAAGGAGAAGAGAGTTCTTGGCTCCATCCCGCCCTTCCTTAAGGAGAAGAGGATTCTCGGCTCCATCCCGCCCTGCCCTGGGAGAAGTGTATGTGTGGGGGATTACAGGCTCCATCCCGCCCTTCTCCGGCAAGCAAAGGGTTACCGCTCCATCGCACTTTTCCCCGGGGAAAAGACGATTTACCGGCTTCATCCCGCCCTTCGGCGGGGAGCAGAGCGTTTAGCGGCTCCATGCTGCCCTTCCCTGGGTAAAAGAGGGTTCCCGGCTCCATCCCGCCCTTCCCCGGGGGAGCGCAGGAGCGGCCGCGCCGCCTTTGCCCCTCTCCCGTTCCCCTTGCTGCCAGGGGCAGGTCGGGGAGGCCCCGACCCCGAGCTCCTGGAAGCCTCGGACACGTAGGAACCAGATGGTTTTGAAATTTTCTGGCTCACCAGCGACACGTTGGCTTTTCCAAGTGGTGGTTCCCAAGGGCTGAGCAGCTGGGAAAAGTCGCGGTGCTTTTTTGGACACGCGTGCTGGGTGATGTGGGTGCCCTTCAGGACTGGGATTTGGGAATAAAACCAGCGTGGATGGGTGCTGATCCTCTCCTGGAGGGGCTGGAGGACTCTCGATCCCCCTTTGGAGCAGCTGCAGGGCTGAAATTTGGCCTTATAAGGGGAGAAAAATACATTTGTACTCTGTTCTTGCACAATTCTAATCCCAGATTGTCCTCAAACTATCCCACAGAGGTTTGGATTGCAGCAGAGCTTGCCCAGCTCTAGGTCTGCACTCCTAGAGTGAGGATAATCTGGGATAGATGAAACAAGCAGGAGGTTGGATGGCACTAAAAGACTTGCAAATCGTAGTCCTTACTCCATGGAAACCAAGTTTTTTTTCATTAAAAACGTGTGTTCTGTGATGATCCAGAATGATCCAGAATGGTGCAGGAGGTGCTCTGCTTTTTTTGGGCTGCTCAAGTCAGGGCATAAAATTAATGGATTTACCCCAAGTCTTTGATGAAATGGATATTTCTTAGTGCAGCTCCAAGCTCATTTTGGTTTTTATAAAACACGGGGCTTTGCTGTGGTCGAGTCTGGAAATCACTGCTCTGCTCTAGAAGGAATTTTTTTATATAAGTTCTGTTGTAACTGAAGTGTCTGATTTCACAGAAATTGTTTTCCAGCCAAGAAATCATTATCAGAGCATTTCAGAAACTCTTTATCTCCTCTGCTAAGAATTGTGATTAATTACAATTCATTGCCTTGCACCACAGGCTGTTAGGTAGCTCTGAAGTTTGTTTTATGCATAATTTGCTTTATTTCTTTTTAGTGTTCCTCTTAAACCTGCAGTTTTTGGCAACACCAGAGCCAGCTTGAATATTCCCCATTCCCAGATCTTCAGTATTCCTTAAAATCCCACCTTGGGATTTTCTTCCCCAAAGTCACCAATTCCTTGTTCTTGCTTAGAATCCCTTTGAGAGCAGAAAGTGAAATGTTGATTTTTTGAGGGGATAAATTCAGTTTTTTGCCAAATCTGGAATATTTTTTTGATGGTGACACCCTACTGATTCTGAGGGAATCTTTGGATTTGAGTGCTTGGCTTTGGTTGTTTTTATTGGGAATTTTCAGGGTGTGATTTCCCCAGCCAGAGGATCCATAGGGAATTTGGTTGGAGGGATTTGTTTTGATTTTTTCCCTTTTCCCAAAGGGAATTTCTCTGCCTTGTGGAAGTTGTTCCTAACGCTGCTGCTCGCTCAGCTCTGTGGAAAATCACTGAACTGGCTGATTTTGGAAAGAAAATGTTCCTTTTTTAGTTGTCCAAGTGCCAAAATTCCTGTGCTGGTGACTTGGGAAGAGTCAGGTGTCACCTGAGTGAAGCCACAGCCCTGGGTGAGGTGACAAAATTGGAGTTTGGGGATAAAAGCTCCTGATTTTTATCAATTAGTGTGTGAAATGTGTAAAAAACACATTTTGAATTCCGTGAGCAGCTGAAAGGAGCAGGAGGGAGGTTGTAAAATCCAAGAAACTGCTCTTGGAAGGATTTTAGCTGGAGGATTCCTACCCTGAGGAGTTTTTTCATCACAGTGGGGTGGATGTGGCTTTGTCCAGCCAGGAATGGGGACCTGTCCTTTTCCAGAGGGGAAATTACAACTTCTCATCCAGCCTGAACCTCCCAAGGAGTTTTTTTTGGGGTTTTTTTTCCCTTTAATTTTTCCATCTGCTGGTGCAGCAAGAGACACTCCATCATTTCTCCACTAGGCTGGATTTTTCCAGCTTTTCCCTCCTGGATGAAACATTTCCTTTGGAATTCTTTTACTGGAGCCAAACAAAAGAACAGAAGGAACAAAATTCCACGTGGGAATTTGGAAACACTCGGATTTGCTGCAATTTCTGATGACACAAAGAGGGGGGTTTTTTTGTTTGTTTGTTTTTTAAACATGATGCAGGAACATCACTTTCCCTTCCCATGAGGAAACTGCTAAAATTCCCTGCCCATCCAATGGGATTTGGAATTTGCTGTGAGATGAAATCAGAGCTTGAGTGCAGCTCTCTCTGGAGGTTGCAGAGTGCCCTGAAAAGATGCCAGGAATTCCCTGCAGCACCTAAAACCCATCCAAATAAATCCTGTCAGGCCCTAAAGCCATCCTGCAGCCTCCACATCCTCATTCCTTTTCCATGGGGAAATTTTCCCTAAAATCCAATCCAAACCCGTTGGCACAGCTGGAGGCCAAAAACAGGATCAAAAATGGGATCAGGGAATGCTGAGCTGCTCCAGAGCTTGGAATTCTCAGCTGGAATCAGCCCTGGGTGATTGGGAAAAAATTGGAAAAAAATGGAAAAAAAAAATTGGAAATCCAGTCCAGCACCTGGGTTTGCTTAGGAACAACCACCTTGGCTCACTGAGTTAAAAACAGCAAAAAAAATGATCCCACCCCAAGCCAGGATATAATTCCCGAGTTTAGGGCCAAGGAGGATTAATTTAGGAACGTGGAGCTGCATCCTGAAAACTCATGGAAACTCCATTTCCTGAGGAAAAGGTGGAATCTTTGCATTTGTGGGTTGTTTTTTATTCCTCATCTGCAGCATCCTGGGGCAAGATCTCCAGGAAACACAGGGAAACATCAGGCCACTTTGTTCCAGAGGTTTTGTTCTGTTCCCAACCCACCCCGTTCCCAAAATCTGCCTGGAAAAACGTGGAAAATCCCACTTGTCTTGGGGTGAGGTCAGATCCTTTATCCCGTGGCAGCTTCAGCCACCAGCACATGCAGGGTTAAAATAATTCCCTGTGTCCTGGGGTGGGGAAAAACTGGGAAAGTGGAATTCCAGAGTTGGAAAAACCCTCAGAGATCCAATCCAGCCATTCCCAAACCTGCCAAGGCCACCACTGATGTCCCCAAGTGTCACTTCCAGCTTTTAAATCCCTCCAGTGCCCTGGGCAACCTCTTCCCATGCTTTTTAGGGGGGAATTTTTCCCTAATATCCAATTTTTCCTGAAATTTCTGTTGTTCCCAGTCCACTCAGCAAACAGCTCCCAGCAGTGGGATCAGTTGGAGAAAGAAAATCCCTGGATCACAGTTGGAAAAGGAAAAAAATCTCTGGATCAGCCAGGGGGAGACTCTGGTTTTTCTGGGAGATCTCCCACAGGGAAAGAAGGAAATTGGGATGGGAGGAATTAAACTCCAAAATAATTTGGGAAAGATGATCCTAAGGAACCTCTGGAAGAACACAAACTGGTTTTTTTGAGAGAATTGTGGCAGGATAAAAATCCCAAATTTTGGTGTAAATCCACAGTGAGATGTGGTGGTGCCAGACCTGATCCTGCCGGTGATTCCAAATATTCCAGCTCATTCCAGCCTTGGGATTAAGCCAGGAAAATTGCTGGATCATGGAATTTTGAGGATTTGACAGCATCCAAATGCCTGCAGTGAATGCTACTGAAATGTTAAGGTTAAAAAAATGTAAAAAGGAAATTCTGCACTTCCAGAGCCTGGAGTTTTCCTCCTGGGCTGGGAAAACTTCCTTGGAAGTTGCCGAGTGCTGAGGCCATCCAGAGATCCCAGAAAACGAGATGAGCCAAAGGCAAATCCTGCATTTTGGAAGTCCACAGCCTCAGCTGTGCCAGGGGAGGTTTGGATTGGATTTTAGGGAACATTTCTCAGTGGGAAAGGTGGTCAGGGCAGGGATGGATTCCCCATTCCTGGGGGGATTTAAAGCCCTGTGCATGTGGCACCTGGGGACATGGGTGGCCCTGGCAGTGCTGGGAATGGTTGCATTCCATCCCAGAAATCTTTGCTCTGCTCATCCTGCCCAGGAGAGGGAGCAGCAGATCAGCAGAATTCCAAGGAATTCCATCACTGCTTGGAGGATGGTTTGTGCACAGCAGGGAGGGGAAGCACAGCATTCCCGGGATTGGAGCTGATTTTGGGAGCTGCAGGAGCTTGAATTCTGTGCTGCAAGGGTGGGAATTCACCAGGGCCAGCTGGGAATTCCCAAGGATTTCAGGGCAGGGATCATCAATCCCCTCTGGATCTTCCAGCCCTGTGCCATCCCTGCTGTCTGATCCCATTCCTGGAGTGTGCCCCATGGATCCAGTGCTATTCCCAAGTTTCTCCTTCCCAGAGTTTGCCCCATGGATCTGGTGCCATTCCCAAGTTTCTCAGTTTCCCAGAGCGCCAATCCCAAGTTTCTCCCTTCTTTCCTTCTCCACAAGTTTTTCCTTCTTTTCTTCTCCTGACTTTTCCCCATGGATCCAGTGCCATTCCCAAGTTTCACCCCATTGGATCCAGTGCCATTCCCAAGTTTCACCCCATGAATCCAGTGCCATTCCCAAGTTTCTCCTTCCTGGGGTTTTTCACCATGGATTGAATGCCATTCCCAAGTTTCTCTCCATGGATCTGGTGCCATTCCCAAGTTTCCCATTCCCAAGTTTTTCTCCATGGATCCAGTGCCATTCCCAAGTTTCCCGTTCCCAAGTTTTGCCCCATGGATCCAGTGCCATTCCCAAGTTTCTCTCCATGGATCCAGTGCCATTCCCAAGTTTCTCATTCCCAAATTTCCCCTCGTGGATCTGGTGCCATTCCCACATTTCCCATTCCCAAGTTTCTCTCCATGGATCCGGTGCCATTCCCAAGGTTCTCACTTTCACTTTCCCTTCTGCCGTGGCCACTTTCACTTTCACCTTCTGCTCCTGCCCTGGATCTGCCAGGATTTGGGATTTTTTTCCTGGGAATTTTTTTTTCCTTAGGGTTGGGATACATCTTCCCAAAATCCAGGAGGGAATTGAGGGGTGCAGCCACTTGGGCTCAGTTTCCTCTCATTAATTAATTAATAAATTTATTTTTAAATTATTTTTTCCCCTTTCTGGATTTTCATTTTGAAAAATAATATTGGAGTGATCACCTGCAAAATTCCTGGATTTTTTGTTGTATTCCCAAGAGTTTCATACTTTTTTTTTAAACTTTTATCCCTGAAAATATTTGATATTTTCCAAAATAAGTTGTGGTGCTCCAGCAAAAAGAATAAAAAAAAAAAAAGAGGTTGTGTTGCATCCTTTGAGCTGAGCTGGGATTTAAAATTCCATGAAATTTAAAATTTTAAATTTGATTTAAATTTGAAATTTACTGGATGCTTCCTTAAGGATGCAGGAAACACAGGAAGAAAAATGCAAGAAAAATTAGCAAAATGAACTTTTCTCATTAGGCCCAGAGACTGAAAGACTGCTGCTGAAAAAAAAAGCTGGAAAATCCCTTTATTTCCCATTTTTCTGCTCTTAATCTGCTTTTTTTCCCTTAATTCCAAGGATTCCAGAGGCAGCACCTAAAAGCAGGCAGTGTAAAAAGTGAATTTACAAAGGCACAAAATATCCAAAAAAAGGTTTAAAGCAGAAAAATCTTCTTTAAAGACTTTCCTCCAAATTTCCATCCTCACCTGCTGTGTTTTCCTAGGATCACTTTGGGATTCTTGGATCATTTTTAGATCCTTCCACATTTTTCCCTCATCTGGATTTTTTTCCCTTTCCCCTTCTCTTCCCCCATTCCTTAAATTAATCATTTTTATTTTTTTTCCTCCTGGAATAATTTGAGAGGAATAAAAATAGACACAAGGAATGATTTGATCTTCATTTTTTAAATTGAAAAGGCAAAAATTATTGAAACTTGCCCTTAAAAGCAGGGATCAAAGGCTGAGTTTGGGATTTGGAACCTCATGCATAAAGTTAATTTATAAACTATAAATGTATAAATTAGCTTATACTAAATCAATTTGTAATAAATTAAAATTTACTTATAGTTAATTATAAATGATATATTAATAAGTTATGTATATTATATATAAAACACATGACAAGATATATTATTTATTACTATTAATATATATAATGATATAACATTAACTAAATGTAATAATTATATAAATATTTATTAATAATAATTTATTTTTATATTTATACTTTTATACATTTCTAATTTAATATTAATATCTGGATTTATAAATTATTTCCCTTCTGGCAGCTGCTACAGATTTTTTTTTGGGATGAACCAGGAGCTCAAATCCCTCTTTCCAAAAATTGTTTTAACTCCCAGAAATCTGGGATTTGGAGGCACCACCCCATCCCAAATCCACCCACAGATCTGGCAATTCCCACCTGGAATTTTTCCCTCAGGATTCCCCATGGATCCTGAGGAGCAGAGTTCCCTGTTGCAGCAATTTTTACCTGGAATATTTCCTTTTTTTCTTGCACACCCCATCCTGAATCCCCACACTGATCTGGCAATTCCCAGCCGGAATATTCCCTGTTTTCCCAGGAGGCCCTGGATCCTGAGGAGCCAATCTGGCAATTCCCAGCCAGAATATTCCCTGTTTTCCCAGGATTCCCCCTGGATCCTGAGGAGCCAATCTGGCAATTCCCAGCTGGAACATTCCCTGTTTTCCCAGGAGTGTCCCTGGATCCCGAGGAGCAGGGCTGCTCCCTGCTGCAGCATTCCCACCTAGAACATTCCCTGTTTTCCCAGGACTGTCCCTGGATCCCGAGGAGCAGGGCTGCTCCCTGCTGCAGCGGGCCGTGGCGCTGCTGCAGAGCTCCTCCCTGCACTCCAGCTCCCAGCAAGGCTTCCAGTACAGCAGAGCCATCCTGGTGGAAAATGAGCTTTTCCTGAGTGAGGTAAGCCTGCAATCCCAGCAAAAATGGGATTTTTTGGGAGCTGCACACCTCTGGGAATGCTGATTTATTGCCAGCTCTGTTTGATTTCCCTCTTGAAATTCCCAACTTTTTTTTCTCCTTCCTTTCGCTTCCGTCCCCATCAGGAATAAAGAATCCATTCAGCCAATGGTGCTCAGAGTTCCTGGAGCCTTGGGAATTCCAAAATTCCTTTGGAGTTGGAGAATTCCCTTCCATGGGTTGCTTTCTGTTGAGTTGACCTCAAGGCAGATTTTTGGGATGTCTCTGTCTCCACCTTTCTTTTTTCCTTTTACCTTCATTTTTTCCAGCTGGCTGGACTTTAAAAAATCCCTTCATTCCCACTTTTGAAATCCCTTCATTCCCACTTTTGAAATCCCTTCATTCCCACTTTTCTAATCACTTAATTGCCACTTTTGAAGTCCTCACATTCCCACTTTTCAAATCTCCACATTCCCACTTTCAAAATCTCCACATTCCCACTTTCAAAATTCCCACATTCCCACTTTTCAAATCCCTTCATTCCCCCTTTCCAAATCCCACATTCCCACTTTCCAAACTCCTTTATCCCATTCCCACTTTCCAAATCCCACATTCCCATTTTCAAATCTCTTCATCCCATTCCCACTTTTCAAATCCCTTCATTCCCATTTTTCAAATCCCCAGATTCTCATTTTTCCAATCCTTTCATTCCCATTCCCAAATCCCTTCATCCCATTCCCACTGCTGATTTTTCCTGTTGCTATTGTGTTTCATTTTCCTCACCTCAATTTTTTAATTAAACCACATCCAGGTGTTTTTCCAACTGTGCTGGGCCAGATTACTTTTTTCCCCTAATCCTGAAAAAAAAAAGTGGGAAAAATAATTTTTTTCTGGGATCAGCATCACCTGAGACCAAAATGTTGGGATTTTTTTTCCAGCTCCGAGCTTTTGCCCGAGCCAAGGCAGCTGCAGGATACAGCCAGGAGGAGCTGCAGGAGACCTTTGCATTCCTGCTCTTTGACAAGGAGGAGGAGGTAACCTGGAATGGGATTTCCATGGAAATTTGGGATCAAATCCCTGCTTTTTTTCTCATCACACCCAGGAGATCTGGTGGGGCAGTTCCCAGGAGAATTCCTGCTGGGAAAAGCTCTGGGAGCAGCTCCTGGGGGGTTTGGGATGGCTCTGATGGGAGAAAAGGGAATTTTTCTTGCTGCCAGTGGGATTATTTAGGATTATTTGGAATTCTTTGGAAATATTTGGGATTATTTACAGTTATTTGGCATGATTTATTTGGCTCCTCAGGGGTTTTAGGAATAGATCTGGTTGGAGAAAAAGGAATTTTCCTTGGTGCCTCTGGGATTCTTTGTGAATATTTGGGATTTTTGGGATTATTTGGAATTATGTGGAATTCTTATTGGAATTCTTATTGAAATTATTTGGAATTATTTGGGGTTCTTTGGGATTCTTTGGCTCCTGGGGGGTTTTAGGGATGGATCTGATTGGAGAAAAAGGAATTTTCTTTGGTGCCACTGGAATTAAATGGAATTCTTTGGGATTCCTTGGAATTCTTTGGGATTCTTTCGGATTATTTGCAGTTATTTGGAAATATTTGGAATTCTTTGGCTCCTGTAGGGTTTTAGGGATGGATTTGATTGGAGAAAAAGGAATTTTCCTTTGTGCCACTGCAATTTTTTGGAATTATTTGGGATTACTTGGAATTTCTCAATTCCTGGGAATATTAACACCCTTTATCACCCAATAACTGATTTCCTGGGAATATTTCTCATTTCCTGGAAGTAAATCCTGGAAAAAAGGTGGAAAAAGAGGAATTTTCCTGCTCCCTTGCAGGCCCAGCGGGTGTGTCAGAGCGGGCTCCGTGTCAACAGCAGCAACATCTCCACCCTGGGGGACCCTGCCAAAGGTAAAATCCCACCTGGAAAGGAAATTCCCACTCTGGGAGTGAAACTCCATCCAAATTCCTTCAAATTCCCACTCTGGGAATGAAACTCCTTCCAAATTCCTTCAAATTCCCACTCTGGGAATGAAACTCCTTCCAAATTCCTTCAAATTCCCACTCTGGAATGAATTTCCTTCCAAATTCCCACTCTGGGAATGAATTTCCTTCCAAATTCCCACTCTGGGAATGAATTTCCTTCCAAATTACCACTCTGGGAATGAAACTCCTTCAAAATTCCTTCCAAATTCCCATTCTGGGAATGAAATTCCTTCCAAATTCGCATTCTGGGAATAAAACTCCTTCAAAATTCCCACTCTGGAAATAAAATTCCTTCCAAATTCCTTCCAAATTCCCATTTAGGGAATAAACTCCTTCCAAACTCCTTCCAAATTCCCATTCTGGGAATAAAACTCTTTCAAAACTTCTTCAAATTCCCACTCTGGGAATGAAACCCTTTCCAAATTCCCATTTAGGGAATAAACTCCTTCCAAAGCCAAGGCAAAAGCTCAAAATTCCTGGGTTTTACTGCAGAAATCCCTGGAAAATTCCCTTCTTTCTGATCTTTCAGCCAGCTGAGGGTGGGATTTTTCCCAGGGAATGGCAGCATTCCTTCAGCTCTTCATTTTCTGGGAATATGAACTGCTTTTATCACCCCAGAACTGGTTTTCTGGCAATATTTCTTATTTTTCTTGGAATATTTCTCATTTCCTGGGAATATTAACACCCTTTATCACCCAATAACTGATTTTCTGGGAATATTCCAGAATTCCCCCATTTTTCTGGCTCTTTACAGAGATTTTTGGGAATATCTTTCCCTGCTGACAAATAATTCCCTTTTTTTTTGTTGTTTTCCAGGGGTTTATATTTCCAAATATTCTGACTGTCTCCATCCCAGCCCTTGGCACCAGGGAAAATCAGGATTTATTGTCATCTGTAAGCTCATCAAGGTAAACCCCAAATTTTTAATTGCCTATAAATCAAAGTCCAGAATCCAGTTTTTCCTTGGAATTTCAGGAATTTTGGGAATTTTCAAGGGTTTTTCCCCTTCCTGCTCTCTGGAGCCGATTCCAAACCCAAACTCTTCACACTGGAAATTTCTCTTTGAAATTTGAACTTTGAGATTTTGCTGCCCATAATTTTGGTGGGATGGAAAATCAAACTCCAAACTCCAATGTTTCCTTGGATTCTCAGGAATTTTGGGAGATTTAATTTTTTTTTCCCATTCCTCCTGCCTGGAGCTGATCCCAAACCCCACTCCTGACCCTGCCTCTTCCCATCCCAAACCCACCTGAATTTTTGGAACACCACAACCGCACCGCCCTCACCCTGCTCTTCCAACATGGGGAACAAAACACATCCTTGGGACTATTTCCTCAGATTTCCATCCTTGGGATGGATTTTTGGGAAGGATTCCATGGATTTCCATGCTTGGGATGTGTTTTTGCTGCAGGGCAAGGTCAGAGCCATCCCTGAGAGCTCCCCCAGCAGCTCCACCTGCCCCTCGCCCGGCTACGACTGCCACGTGTCCAGCGGGAGCAGCCAGGTACTCTGGGATTGCCCTTTTCCCAGTCCCACATTCCATGGATTTCCCTGTTTCCTGTGGATTTCCCTGGTTTTGCCTTTAATTCCCTGTTTGCCATTCTTTCCCCATTCCCTGATTTCCCTCTTTTCCCAGTCCCCCATTCCATGATTTCCCTGTTTTTCCCAGTCCCACATCCCATGGATTTCCCTTTTTCCCATGGTTTTCTTATTGTTTCCCAGTCCCCCATTCCATGGATTTCCCCATTCCATGATTCCCTGTTTTCCTGTGAACTTCCCTTTTCCCAGTCCCACATCCCATGCTTTCTCTGTATTCCTAGTCCCCATTCCCTGATTTCCCTGTATCCCATGGATTCCCTGTTCCCTATGGATATTTCCCCATTCCCCATGGATTATTCCCAGTATCCCATGGATGTTTTTCCCTCTGTTTCCCCAGTACTACATGTATGAGGTGAGCAGGGTGAATTCCCAGTTCCCCATGGGTTATTCCCTGTTCCCTGTGGATTCTTCCCAGTATCCCCTGGATGATTTCCAGTATCCCGTGGATGATTCCCAGTTCCCCATGGATGATTCCCAGTTCCCCATGGATGATGCCCATTTCCCACAGACGATTCCCATTTCCCATGAATGATTCCCCATTCCCCATGGATTATCTCCAGTATCCCATGGATATTTCCCTGTGTTTCCCGAGTACTACATGTACAAGGTGAGCAGGGTGAATTCCCAGTATCCCATGGACTATTCCCAGTATCCCATGGATGATTCCCAGTTCCTATGGATGATTCCCATTTTCCATGGATGATTTCCAGTCCCCATGGATTATTCCCTGTTTCCCATGGATTATTCCCCGTTTTCCATGTATCCCTAATATCCCATGGATGTTTCCCTGTGTTTCCCCAGTACTACATGTACAAGGTGAGCGGGGTGAATTCCCAGTTCCTGTGGATTATTCCCAGTTCCCATGGATGATTCCCGTTCCCCTTGGGTTATTCCCAGTATCCCATGGATGATTACCAGTATCCCATGGATGGTTCCCTGTTCCCATGGATTATCCCCGTTCGCCATGGATTATCCCCGTTTGCCATGGATTATCCCCATTCCCCATGGGTTAATCCCCATTCCCCATGGATTATCCCCATTCCCCATGGGTTATCCCCGTTCCCCATGGATTATCCCCATTCCCCATGGGTTATTCCCTGTTCCCCATGGATTATCCCCGTTCCCCATGGATTATCCCTATTCCCCATGGGTTATCCCTATTACCCATGATGTTTCCCTGTGTTTCCGCAGTACTACGTGTACGAGTTGAGCGGGGTGATTTCCCAGTTCCCATGGGTTATTCCCAGTATCTCATGGATTATTCCCCATGGATAAGTGTTTCCGCAGTACTACGTGTACGAGTTGAGCGGGGTGATTTCCCAGTTCCCATGGGTTATTCCCAGTATCCCATGGATTATTCCCCATGGATAATCCCCATTCCCCATGGATTATCCCCAGTATCCCATGGATTATCCCCTGTGGATTATTCCCAGTATCCCACGGCTGTTTCCCGTTCTCTCCCCAGTACTACGTGTACGAGTTGAGCGGGGTGAATTCCCCGTTCCCATGGATTATCCCCAGTACCCCATGGCTGTCTCCCGTTCTCTCCGCAGTACTACGTGTACAAGTTGAGCGGGGTGAATTCCCTGTTCCCATGGATTATCCCCAGTATCCCATGGATTATCCCCCATGGATTATCCCCAGTACCCCACGGCTGTCTCCCGTTCTCTCCGCAGTACTATGTGTACGAGTTGAGCAGGGTGAATTCCCATTGCCCATGGATTATCCCCAGTATCCCATGGATTATCCCCCATGGATTATCCCCAGTACCCCACGGCTGTCTCCCGTTCTCTCCACAGTACTACGTGTACGAGTTGAACGGGGTGAATTCCCATTCCCCATGGATTATCCCCAGTACCCCACGGCTGTCTCCCGTTCTCTCCGCAGTACTACGTGTACGAGGTGAGCGGGGCGGGAGCGGCCGAGCGGCCCCGCCAGGTGTGTCCCTACGTGCTGCTGGCCTGCCAGTACCGCGCGCCCCGGGAGATGCCCGCGCCGGCCCCGCACCGCCCGTAAGGAGCCTGCACGGCCCTTCTCTGCCCCCTCCCATCCCTGGAATCCCTTTTATCCTTTTCCCCATCTAAAATTCCTTTTTATTCTTTACCCATCTCTGCAATTCCTTTTGCTTCTTTTCTCATGTCTGAATATTTTCCTTTTCTTCCCTCTTTTCCCACCTCTAAAATTCCTTTTTTCCTTTTTCCATCTCTAAGTATTCTTTTTCTTCCTTTTACAATCTCTAAATATTTCTTTTTATAATTTTCCCATCTCTGGATCAATTTTCCTTTTTTTCCCTCTTTTCCCATCTCTAATACTCCTTTTCCCATCACTAATGTTCTTTTTATCCTTTTCCCATATCTAAGTATGCCCTTTTATTCTTTTTCCATCTCTAAAATTCCTTTTCTTCCCTCTTTTCCCATTTCTGAATACTCCTTTTATTCCTTTTCCCATACCTAAATATTCCTTTTATTCCTTTTTCCATCTCTAAAATTCCCTTTTATGCTTTTCCCATCTCTAATACTCCTTTTATTCCCTCTTTTCCCATCTCTGAATATTTTCCTCTTATTCCCTTTCCCATTTCTAAATATTCCCTTTTATCCTTTCCCTACCCCTAAAATTCCTTTTATTCCTTTCTCCATCTCTGAATATTTTCTTTTTTTATTGATGTCTCTCTCCAGAGTGGAGCAGAACCACCAAGGTAAGAACTGCTGGGGTTTCTGGGTTTTTGGGTTTGGGGATTTTGGGGCTGTGGTTGTGGTTGCTTGGATTTGGGGTGTTTGGGTTTGGGGTTGTGATTTTTCGGGTTGGGGTTTTTTGAGCATGGGGTTTTTGGGGTTGTGGTTTTTTGGGTTTGGGGTTTTTGGGATTGTGGTTGTTTGGGGTTGGGGTTTTTGGGGTTGGCAGTTTTGGATTTGGGTTTGGGGTTTTTTGGGTTTGAGTCTGTGGTTTTTGAGGTTGTGGTTTTTGGGGTTGTGGTTGTGGATTTTAGGTTTGGGGATTTTTGGGGTTGTGGTTTTTGGGTTTGGGGTTCTGGTTTTTCTGATTGTGTTTGGGGTTTTGGGGGTTTTTGGTTTTGGGGTTTTTGGGTTTGAGGTTGCGGGGTTTGGATTTTGGCTTTGGGTTTGTGCTTTTTGGCTTTCCCCACGGACTGTTCTCTCCTCTCCCCTGTCCCGTTCCCTCCGCAGAGCCGCGGTCGCTGTCGGCAGCGCCGTGCCCGTGGCGGGGCCAGCTCTGCATCGGGGGCCGGCGCCTCTGCACCATCGGCCTGAGGAGCCGCAGTGAGCCAGGCTTAGCACAGCATGGGCAGTGTACCCACCCAGCTGTGAGTGTGCCTGGGCTGGGCTTAGCACCCTGAGCCGGGCTTAGCACAGCATGGGCAGTGTACCCACCCAGCTGTGAGTGTGCCTGGGCTGGGCTTAGCACCCTGAGCCGGGCTTAGCACAGTGAGCCAGGCTTAGCACAGCATGGGCAGTGTACCCACCCAGCTGTGAGTGGGGCTGAGCCAGGCTTAGCACGCTGGGCCTGGGGTGTTACACTGAGCTGGGCTTAGCACACTGAGCCAGGCTTATATACTTGAGCCACACTGAGCTGGGCTTAGCACACTGAGCCTGCTTTCTCAGACTGAACCTTGTTCCTTAACCAAATCCTGGTTTCTCAAACTGAACCTGGTTTCTTAAACTAAACTTGGTTTTTTAACTTTAACTGGCTTCTCAAGCTAAACCTGGTTTCTCAAGCTAAACCTGGTTTCTCAAACTAAGCCAGTTTTTGTCTTTTCCTGCCTCAGCCCTTTGCTGCTGGGATGTTGGGACTGTCAGGAATGCGGTGTTGGGTCCCAGCTGGGCGAGGAGATGAAATCCTTTAAAAGAATTCAGTTCTGACACCTGCCACTAAACCAGATTGCTCCAGTCCTGGCTTTAAACACCCCAGGATCTGTGATTTGAGGATTTTCAGGATTTGCACACAGGATCCTGAGCAAGCTGCACCTTTTCCAGATCTTTTTTTTTTGGCTCCACAGAACTCCCAGCTCTCCTTAATCCTGAAATTTCTGTGCTTTATCCCCTCAGGCCTCCCAGCCTGGACATCAAACACGTCATGGGATTGTCTGACTTGAAGAAAAAACTGCCAGAAGCTGCATTTGGGAAAAAAAATTACACTAGGAATGAAGGTGGGTGTGAAATATCCCAATTTCCAGTGCTCCCAGCAATTCCACCTCCACCCTGCTGGGACAGAATCCATGGAAAATCACCACCCCAACCCCAAATCCTTTCTTTTCCCCCCAGTCTGCTTTCAGGGTGTTTACTCCAGTCTCTACGAGGTGGAAATATCCAATAAGGATCAATCCAGAATGGATCAGCTGGTGGAAAAGCTGAAGGAGAAGGATTTGGTGAGTGTTTTCCTGGGAGGAAAGTGGCCTTTAAGTGACATTTTTGGTGTTATTATCCACAATTAATGCAAAATGGAATTAATCACCCTGCTTTAAATGTTATTTTCCTGTTTTGTTGCTCTCGTTTATTCTTTCTGTTTCTCACCTGAAGATTAATGCCACGAGCTGGGAATTACTTCTGGAGCTGAGCATTCCCAGGATTCCTTTGGAATTCCTGCCTCTTACCCCTTCTCCTCTCTGCCTTGAGCACCCAGAGGAAGAGCTGCTCTGCTGAATCCCGAAAATTTCCCTGGGATTGCCCAGAATTCCCAAAATTCTTGTGTTTTCCTGGAGGAGTGGGCACCAATCCAATCCTGAGTGCATGGAATGGGATCAGGGAACTTCCAGGTTTATCCAGTTCCTGGAAGATTCCTGAAAAAAATGGAAGAAAGATCCAAATTTGGAAAAGGAGAGGCAATCCAAGGCAGCAAACACAAGGAAAAGCTGATTTTTATCTCTTTATCCATCTGCTCCTGGAAATCTGGGACACAATTCCAGGACTTTTTTACACTCAGCTAATTTTTTTTTTCCCAAAGATTCACTGATGCTGCCAAAATCCAGCTGAGCTCCAGCCAGGTAGTGGCTGGAATTTGGTGTTTTCCAGGATGCTGGAATTTTGTCTTTTCCCAGGGTGCTGGAATTTTGTGTTTTCCCAGGCTGTTGGAATTTTGTCATTTCCCAGGCTGTTGGAATTTTGTGTTTCCCTGGGATGCTGGAATTCTGTGTTTTCCCAGATTGCTGGAGTTTTCTGTTTTCCAGGATTCTGGAATTTTGTCTTTTCGAGGATGTTGGGAAAACCTTCCCCTTTGGGCTGCAATTCCTGGCAGGGATAGATTACTAATCTTCATTAATTCCAGCCAGCTTGATCAGGACTTTATTTTAAGGAATTTTAGGCCTGAACAAGGAATATTTTGATCCTAGCTGGCACAAGAGGCAGGGAAGGAGCAGAGTTTGATTTTTTTTCTCTGTTTGTTGCAGGCAATCATCAAATATTTACAGGACCAAGGAGTTCTCATCCTGCTCACGTCCTCAGCCTTGGCACGGGAGGATGGTAAGGCTGGGCTGGGCTGGGCTTAGTTCCTGCTGGGTTTTGGAGGCTAAACTGAACCTGGTTTCTCAAATGGAACCTGGTTTCTCAAACTGAACCTGTTTTTTTAAACTAAACCTGGTTTCTCAAACTAAACTTGGTTCCTTAACCAAAACTTGGTTTCTCAAACTGAACGTGGTTTCTTAACCAAATCCTGGTTTCTTATTTAAAACCTGGTTTCTCAATCTAAACCTGGTTTCTCAAACTGAACCTGGTTTTTTAAACTAAACCTGGTTTCTGAACCCAAACCTGGTTTTTCAACAAAAATTAGGTTTCTGAAACTAAACCTGGTTTTTCAGACTATGTGTGGTTTCGAAACCCAAACCTGTTTTCTCAGACTAAGCCTGGTTTCTCACACTAAGCCTGGTTGCTCACACTAAGCCTGGTTTGTGACCCCAGCCTGTTTTCTGCAGGCCTGGAGCCCAAGGAGCCCGTCAGCCTGCTGGCCCTGTTCCTGTTCCGCTCCCCGCGGGCGCTGAGCCCCCGAGGTAGGAGCCCCCTGTGCTGCCCCCGGCTCTGCGCTGGGCTGGAGTCCTGGCTCAAAGGGCCCAGTGCTCTTCAAAGCTGAAATTTCTGCCCAAAATTGGGGTGTTTGGTGGGATCCACGTGGAGCAGGTTTGGGATGTTTGGTAGGATCAACGTGGAGCAGGTTTGGGATGTTTGGTGGGATTCATGTGGAGCAGGTTTGGGATGTTTGGTGGGATCCATCCTGAGCAGGTTGGATGTTTGGGATGTTGGGATCCATCCAAAGCATTTGGACTTCCCCCCAGGGCTGAGCTTTTTGCAGGCTGATTTTTGGAGCTTTTTACTTCAATATTTCCTTTTTTCCCTTTTAATTTTCCTTCTCCTTTCCCTTTTCCTTTCCGTTCTTCTCCTTCCCTCCAACGTTTCCCGACACCAGGGAAATGATTTAGTGAGCTCACTCCTTTGCTAACTGGATTAAAAGCCATTTTGGTTTTCCCTTCCCAGTGGAAAAGCAGGAGCCAAAGGAGAGGCAGGGGGGCAGTGCCAGGAGTGCCATCTCCCTAAAAATCGCCTCCGTTTTGCCGGGACTCCGCTACGCCTTATGGAAAGCAGCCGCTTCCTCCTGCAATGCCACGGGCAGCCCCAGCATCCAGGAGCACCTCCAGGAATATGCAAAACTCCAGGAAAACTCTGAGGGCACCCCTGGGCAGAGCAGTGACATTCCCGTGGCTCCTGTCCCCTCTCCGTGGCAGGATGGGGGTGCTGACCCTTCCCAGAAGCTCTCGGAGCGATCCCTGGCCCAGCTGCGCCGTTACCTCTCCAACCCCAGCAGCTTCACCCTGGGAGTCTCAGCAGCTTTGCAATGTCTCAGTGGGGCTGGCAGGAATCTGGGAGATGATCCTGGGAATTCCTTCTCTTCCTCAGTGCCCCCAGATCCTGCTCTTCCCACCAGAGCAGCGGGAATAATGCGGGATAAGGGAGAGCTTCCCGCTTCTGCTCCGGAGAGATTCCCTAAAAGTGTCACCTCTCCCACCAAGCCCTGGGGCAGGGAGATCAGGAGGAAATCCAGCAGGATCCTTGGGAAGAGCGTGCCACCCCTCAAGGCACAAACACATCCTGAGGAGAACAACAGCAGGAGCAGGGAGGCAGCCAAGAAAAAAACCAACGTGGCTTCCTCTTGTCCCAAAAAATCCGGATCTACTGGAAATTCCAACGAGCCCATGCTGAAATTGGCCAATTTGCAGTTGCCACATGGAAGGAAAAGAGGTGAGTGCTGGAAAAATGGGATTGGTTTCCTCCTCCCATCCAGCTGGGATGCTCAGGGTTCACTGGGAACCATCCAGGAACTTTCCAAGTGCCTGGAGCATCCAAATCTCAGGAATTATCCCAGGGAAGGTACCTGAAATTGGGTGCTTCCAGGTCCCTTCCTTTGCTTCCAGGTCAGATTTTACTTCTCATTATCCTGATTTAATTTGGAATAAATTGATTATATTCCTAATTAAATCAGGATAATGAGAAGTAAAATCACCAAAACCCCTTCCCCCCCATCCCTCCCTTTTCCCAATGAATTTTTAACCCAAAGAATTCCCAAACAAAAATCAACCCCTCCTTTTCCCTGTCCCAGGTGCAGAGGTCCTGGCTGCAGAAATTGTCCACAAACCCCAGTGTGAAAGTGCTGAGAAGGAAAGCTCAGCTCCCAATGGTCCTGGCGTGGAGGCAAAGAGGCCAAAAACTGTGGAAAACCTGGACTCAAAGAAGGTTCCTGTCACTGAGAGTGGCACAAAGCCAGGGAAAAGCAAAATGCAGAAAAACGTGGAAAACAAAACATCAAAACCTCCAGAGAAGCAGCAGGAAGGGAGTGGTGAGAAAAAATTCCCTTGGGAAAAAATTCCTTTAAAAGCTGAGCCATCCAATGGCAGGGATGAAACAAATGGCTTTGGATTGAAACAGGGAAAATGTCAAATATGATGGAGTTCCCAGAGAATCCTCCTGAATCCCTGAAGTGTCCAAGGCCACTGGGATGACCATGGGGTTGGACTGGGATGATCCTTAAATTCCCTTCCAGCATTCCATGATCAGCATTCCCTCACTGCCTTTGGAGCACCCAGAGTGCATCCAGCTTCTCCCATGGGATGGCTCCTGCCAAACCCAAAAAAATCCCAAAAAAAGCCAGTTTGACTGTAAAAAAAACCCAGTTTTGTGTCTCATTTGATAATGGGATGAGCCTTGGGGTTGGAATGGTGTGATCCCTAAATTCCCTTCCAGCATTCCGAATTCCCTTGGGAAAAAATTCCTTTAAAAGCTGAGCCATCCAATGGCAGGGATGAAACAAATGGCTTTGGATTGAAACAGGGAAAATGTCAAATATGATGGAGTTCCCAGAGAATCCTCCTGAATCCCTGAAGTGTCCAAGGCCACTGGGATGACCATGGGGTTGGACTGGGATGATCCTTAAATTCCCTTCCAGCATTCCATGATCAGCATTCCCTCACTGCCTTTGGAGCACCCAGAGTGCATCCAGCTTCTCCCATGGGATGGCTCCTGCCAAACCCCAGAAAATCCCAGAAATCCCAAAAAAAGCCAGTTTGGCTGTAAAAAAAACCCCAGTTTTGTGTCTCACACGCTAATGGGATGAGCCATGGGGTTTGACTGGGATGATCCTTAAATTCCCATTCCAGCATTCCATGATCAGCATTCCCTCACTGCCTTTGGAGCACCCAGAGTGCATCCAGCTTCTCCCATGGGATGGCTCCTGCCAAACCCAAAAAATCCCAAAAAAAGCCAGTTTGGCTGTAAAAAACCCCAGTCCAAAAGTGGATTTTTTCCCTTTTTAAATTGATTTTTCCCTTTCTAAATGGATTTTTTCCCTGTTTCCCCCCAGAGTGGAAGGAGCTGCTCTCGGAGCTCCCCAGCGAAGCCTCATCCCAACCCCCCGGAGCAGAAATCCCAAGGAATGTTCATCCCATGGCAATTCCCAGCGTTGCCTTTGCCCTGCCAGGGGACAACAGTGACTCCCACGCCCTGAACCTGCTGGCTGACCTGGCCCTGGGCTCCTGCATTCCTGCCTTTATTCCCAAGGATTCTGGGATCGTCCCTGTGGAATCTGGGGATTCCTGGGAGCAGCAGAGCCCGTCCGACCCCAAATCCCTGCGCGTGGATTCCGACCACAAATACCACAGGGCAGACAAGCAGGGCAAAAAATGCACCTCCAGCAAAGTGTCCCTGACCCAGCCACTTCCTGAAGAAACAGATTCCAGCCAGCTGGCCTCTCCTCCCAGGGAAAAACCTTCTGGAATTTTCAGCAGGAGCAGCGGGATTCCCATCCCCGCCGTATTCCAGGTGCTCCCTCCCCGCCAAGCTCCGCAAGCCTGCGATGTGAACAAGCACTCCATCATCTCAGCCGAGCACTCCTACGCCTCCCCCATGCCCGACGATCCCAAAGCATCCCCAGATCCCAAAGGGAATCCCAGTGCTGCCCCCAGGAACCCTCCAGGAGCTCCCTTGGTCGGGAAGGTGCTGCCGTTCCGGCACCAGCAGAGCAGCGCCGCCGAGCCCGCCCGGAGCCTGAGCTCTGCCAGGAAAAAGGAGGATTTCTCCAAGAGCCACACGGTGAATCTCTGTGGGAATTCCATGAAGGTCACGTGCCGTTGGGAGGAGGAATATCTCTTCCACCTGGACAGCAGGTACACCAATGATTCCCTGGAGAAAACTGTCATCCGTGCCCTGCATGGGTAAGTCGGCCTGGAGATGGCTGGAGGAGTTTGGGAATGGGGTTTGTGTGCTTTTAGCCCTTTGGTTTCCATAATTGTGGGGTTTGTTCCCTGTGTTGGTGTGGTTTTCTTGGAAAAGAGGGTTTGGGGGTGGTGCTGAGGGGCAAAGTGGATGTGACCCAGCCTCGTGTGCTGGAACCAAAATTCCACCCCATCCTGTGGTGATCCACGGTGTGGGCAGCAGGAAAAGGGGGAATTGGGGAATTCTGGCCTTGATCTTGAAGATCCCTTCCCACCCAACCCATTCCATGATTCTGCAATTCCCCTGGCTCTGCAGTTGGAATTGGTACCTAAAGCCACGAGGCCAAGTCCTCCATCCCTCCTTCGGAGCTCAGATTTCCTCTATTTTTATTTTTTCCTAAAGAAAACTGGAATCTGCTTCAAGCAGTGTGTGCCCCTCTGCATTGGGGCTGAGCCCTGAAGGGAGCCAGGGATAAACTCCAGGGATGAACTCCAAGAATGAAATCGAGGAATGAATTTTAGGGATCCAGTTTGACTGTGAACTCCAGGGGTGAACTCCAAGGATGAATTCTCAGGGATGAACTTCAGGGATGAATTTCAGGGATCAGCTCCAGGGGTGAACTCCAGGGATGAATTCTCAGGGATGAACTTCAGGGATGAATTTCAGGGATCAGCTCCAGGGGTGAATTCTCAGGGATGAATTTCAGGAATGAACTCCAGTGGTGAACTCCAGGGATGAGCTCTCAGGGATGAATTCTCAGGGATGAACTCCACGGATTAATTCCCTGGAGCTGAACGGGCGAGGATGAGGATGGTCCAGCCTCTTTTTTCTTCCCTTCCCAGGCCCTGGGATCCCAATCTTCCCGACGATGTGGAAGAGCTCCAGGGGTGAATTCTCAGGGATGAATTTCAGGAATGAACTCCAGTGGTGAACTCCAGGGATGAGCTCTCAGGGATGAATTCTCAGGGATGAACTTCAGGGATGAATTTCAGGGATCAGCTCCAGGGGTGAATTCTCAGGGATGAATTTCAGGAATGAACTCCAGTGGTGAACTCCAGGGATGAATTCTCAGGGATGAATTCTCAGGGATGAACTCCACGGATGAATTCCGTGGAGCTGAACGGGATGAGGATGGTCCAGACTCTTTTTTCTTCCCTTCCCAGGCCCTGGGATCCCAATCTTCCCGACGATGTGGAAGGGATGAAGCTGATCCTGCACATGTGGGTGGCTCTGTTCTACAGGAAGCCCAGCAAGCTCCTGAGCAGCTCCAGGAAGGTGGTGGAGCACAGCAATCCCAGGAAATTCGTCTCCATCAACAGCTCCGGTGGCTTCCTGGAGCTCAGCGACGACAGCCAGGACTGCTTTGGCTTTGAGACGTGTCCTGCAGACTCCGGCTCGGATCCTGACCAGACTCCCAGCAGCTCCCTGGATCCCAGCACCCCTTCCCAGGGCGCTTCCCAGCCCGAGAAGAGCCCAGCGGATTCCCAGACGGACGCGGACGGAGCTGCTGGAGCTGTGGACAGCACGGTGTCCTCCTCCTCTGGGGAGCTGCCCTGCGGGGAGGAGGAGGAGCCTTCCTCCACCAGCTGTCCCGAGAGCCTTTCCCTGCAGGATCATTCCAGGGAAAAGCTGGATGTGGCAGGCGGGGAGCCGGAAGGCGTTCCCGAGGAGAGCGCGCGCGACGTCTCGAGCGTCACCGCGGTGAGTGCGGCCTTGGGGGGCTCCAAGGAACGTTTTCCTCCTGAAAGAGCAGGATTTTCCTCTTAAAAGAGTAGGATTTCCTCCTAGAAGAGCAGGATTTTGCTCTTAGGGGAGGAGGATTTTCATCTCTTAAGAGCTGGAATTTCTTCCTGGAGGAGCAGGAGTTTCCTCTTAAAAGAGCAGAATTCTTCTTTTAGGGGAGCAGGATTTTACTCTTAGAGGAGCAGGATTTTCCTCTTAAAAGAGCAGGATTTTCCTCCTGAAAGAGCAGGATTTTTCTCCTAAAAGAACAGGATGTTCCTTTTAAAGGAGCAGGATTTTCCTCTTAAAAGAGCAGGAGTTTCCTCTTAGAGAAGCAGAATTTTTCCTATAAGAGCAGGATTTCCTCTTAGGGGAGGAGGATTTTCATCTCTTAAAAGAGCAGGAATTTCCTCCTAGAGGAGCAGGATTTTCCTCTTAGAAGACAAGGATTTTCCTCTAGAGGAGCAGAATTTTCCTCTTAGAGCAGCAGGATTTTCCAGAAGAATGGAGCAGCTATGCTTGTGGGGTATCCAGGGAAGCAGGGATGCTCACCAAAAGGGAGGAATCCCAGTTTAAAGTAATTAAAGTGTCGAGCTCAGCGCCTGTTCCTGATTTAAATTCCGAGTTTGTGTGTCCTCAGCTGAGCCCCCAGCATCCCAGAGCAGAATCCCAAATCCAGCACAGCCATTCCCACGTGGATTTGGAAAGCTGGGATTTGTTGGCTCAGGAGATTTTCCCCCACACAGGTGCCAGTGCAGTGCTTTGCATCATTCCCCTCATCCCTCCAGTGAAATCCATGAAAATTCCATTCTGGATAAAGCTTGAAATTAATTTTTACACTTTCTCCAGTCTGCACGTGGTCAGGAGTGGAGGTTCTTGTGGTAAACATAAAACACAGGGCTCTGCTGAGATGTTTCCCAACTGAATTCTCAAATTAAAGTAATTCCTTTAAAACTTGAACAGAGGAGCAGCTTCCATAGGGCTGGAATGAAGGAAAAAATATTCCAGTGGTTTTTTTTTTTTTTCCTGCATTTTCCTGTGAGGAATGTTTTCTTCTTGTTAACCCGTGGATTGTGTTCCAGGAGGAGGCAGCCAAGGAGGACCTGCTGGATGCCAGGATCACCCCCAGCCCTCCCGAGGAGCTCGGCTGTCCCAGCAAATCCCCGGATGTGCCAGGCACGGAAAACCCCGGGAGCCAAGCCCCAAACTCCAGCACAGCTCCATGGACAGACCCCCCCTGTGCACCTCAGGAAAACGGGGAGCAGCAGCAGGAAAACCAGCAGGGAGCAGGCTCAGGGAGTGGCCCCGGCCCTCCCGAGGATGAGGAGGGAATGGGAGGCTCTGGGCATTCCCTGGACGTTGAGGATGGCGCTGATCCGCAGCCTGCCTGTGATTCCGTGCCCTTGGAAGCAACTCCTGGAAGTGCAGAGCCTGGGGGAGCCACTGAGGAAGGGGAGGAATGCCAGGAGCCCTCGGAGCACTCGGAAAAAGAGGAGAGGGAGGTGGAGGAGGAGAAGAAGGAGAACGAGGAGTTGGAGGATGAAAGCTCCTTCGTGGGCCCCGTGGGTTTGGTGCTGTCCGAGAGCAGCGATGCCGAGATGGAATGCGAGCACGGCGAGAAGAATCCAGGGAATTTGGCATCTCCAGAGCAGTTTGGTGTTCCTGAAGAGGCTCCCCTGCCCAGCCCCACCTCCCTGGCACCCTCCTGCCCCGACAGATCCTCCCCAGCGCCCTCAGATGGGGCCGGGACTGACCCTGGAGGCTTTCCTGAGGAGATGTCACCAAACCAGGAGGAGCTCCCGGATCCCTGGGACGCTCCGGGCACGCCGGAGTCGGAGACAAACGGGATTGGAGTGGCCAGTCCGGCCGAGGTGGGGTCACCCCACAGTGACAGCGGGGAGCTGGCAGTGCCCCCAGAGCCCAGCCCTGTCCGTGGGGCACAGCCCGACAGCGTTACAGACAGCCCGGGACCTGCCAGAGACACACTGGGAAACGGCTCCGGGCACAAAAACCAGGATCAGGCTCCCTCTGGGGAACGCTGGGAGCGTGCTGGGAGCACAGGGTCCCCCTGCAGACAGGGAGTGAGCCTGGCCCTGTCCCCCGACTCCAGCTCCGTCTGCCTGACCTCTCCCGACGGCTCCGTGGATCCGTGGGCTGCTCCGGAGGATCAGCCCGTGGAGAGCGTCCAGTCCCCGTCCCAGAGCGACCTGGGACGGAGCAGCTGCTTCTCCCAGCTGGGTGGGGATGACACCGATCCCGACCCAAATTCCCTGGATGCTGAGGAGTCAAACCAAGGCAGGAATGGGATTTTGGTGGAGGAACAGCAGGGGAGCCCCTCTGCCAATGACACGGAGGAGCTGGATGATCCCATGGGAGCGGGAGATAGCCGGGACTCCCCCTTTGAGTACACAGACAGAGGAGATGACTGCAGAGCTGAGGAGAGCGAGGATGTGTTCCCTGGGACAGAGAATTCCCCTGGGAATGACACCACAAACGTGGAGATGGCGGAGATGCCTCTCCACCATCACCTCCTGGAATCAGAGCCCTCCTCCTCCATCAGGGAGGGCATCTCAGCCATACAGGAGCTCCCCAGGCAGCAGCAGAGCTTCCCAAACCTCCACGGGGACTCAGCTCCTGCTTCTCCTGGCGCCGGAGACTCCAACCCCGGCATTCCCGCCGTGCCGGGCCGGCGGGAGTCGGTGCTGTGCCGCCTCTGGAAGCCGTGCCGGGAAGGAGGAGCCACGCAGGTGAGTGTGGCTGCCTGGAGCCTGGATGGCTCCTTCCATCCCAGCTGTTCCCAAGAGCTGCTGGAGTCCCCAGCTCCCTGCTCCCCCATGGATGCGCCAGCGGAGCCGGGATCTGTTCCTCCTTCTCCGTGTGATCCGTGGGACGATCCTGCAGAGCTGGGCTCGCCGCTCCCTGAGACGCTCCCCGGGATGCTCCCTGACACTCCAGACAGTGCCTGGTGGGCCGGGAGCCATGGCAGCCCCGGGAGGAGCCCCAGGAGCTGTGGCAGCCCCGGGAGGAGCCCCAGGAGCTGTGGCAGCCCCAGGAGGAGCCCCAGGAGCTGTGGCAGCCCCAGGATCCGTGGCAGCCCTGGGAGCAGCCCCAGGAGCCATGGCAGCCCTTCCTGCCATGGCAGCCCCAGGAGCTGTGGCAGCCCCAGGAGTGGTGGTAGTCCCAGAAGCCATGGTAGCCCCAGGAGCCATGGCAGCCTGAGGAGCCATGGTATCCCCATGAGCAGTGGTAGCCCCAGGAGCTGTAGCAGCCTCAGGAGTGGTGGCAGCCCCAGGAGCCATGGCAGCCCCAGGAGCCATGGTATCCCCAGGAGCTGTGGTAGCCCCAGGAGCTGTGGTAGCCCCAGAAGCCAAGGCAGCCCCATGAATGGTGGTAGCCCCAGGAGCTGTGGCAGCCTCAGGAGCCATGGTAGCCCCATGAATGGTGGCAGCCCCAGGAGCTGTGGCAGCCCCATGAATGGTGGTAGCCCCAGGAGCTGTGGTAGCCCCAGGAGCCATGGCAGCCCCAGGAGCTGTGGTAGCCGTGGTAGCCCCTGGAGCCAGGCAGGGGATGCCGGAGGGAGCCCCAGGGAGGAGCCCTTCCTGCCAGAGGACCTGGAAGGAGGCAGCATTCCCAGTCCTGCACCTTTCCCAGCCTGGGAGTGTCCCCTGTGCGAGCCCTGGGATGTGTGTGAGCACAACCCCGAGGGATCCCAGGCGTTCCCCGATCCCGACAGTGCCGGCACCGAGGTGGGACAGGGAGAAATTCCAGCTTCTCCCATCCCATGGGACGAGCCCAGGGAACTCTCTGGAGAGCATCTGGAGTTCAGTGATGCTGAGGATATTTCGGATCTGCTCCCAAGGGAAGAGCAGCTCCCAAGCCAAGACACACGTGAGGGCTTGGCCTTTGAAGAGCCACTGGAGAATTCCTTTGGTGACTCAGACCAGGAATATTTTGAGGGGAATTCTCGCTCCCCTCTTCCAAGCAGGAGTTCCTGCATCATGAGATCCACGGATGCTGCAGGAGCAAGGACTACCTGGGACAGCTCCTCCAGGAGCTCCGTGCACACAGAGGAGCGTGGGGAGGCCTGGGACTGGGACACCCCCAGGGATTACGGGAGCTTTGTGGTCACCAGGCAGTGCCAGGAGAGGATGGAACATTTCCAGCTTCCCAGGAGGCGCAGCCGCCGTGCCCGGGAGTCTCACCTGGCCCGCTCCCTGATGGGAACCTGGAGGGGCTTTGAGGAAATCACCCAGAACACTTTGGACATGGAGTGTCTCCGCTTCCATTATAAGCTAAAAGAAATCCTAAGGAATGGCAAACCCCCATTTTCTACCTCCAAAAGCATCTTCCCAACGAACTTTCCTCCCCGCCACGCCCCCATCCCGCTGTCCCCGCGCAGCAGGAGCCCCTTGCAGGTGACAATTCCCCCCTCGGGCGCGTGGCCGGACGGGCTCCACTCCCACAGGGACGCTTGGGCCAGCAGGAGAGGCCGATGCCGGGCCAGGAGCCGGCACGCCGGGGCTGCCTTGCGCCTGGGCAGGCTGCGGTACGAGCACGCCCCGCCGGAGCCGCGCGGGGACGTGGCCGGCATCCTGGACGAGTTCTCCGAGTTCCAGAGGGTGCTGCAGGCCAGGGCCGAGCCCGGCAGCGCGGCCCCGGCGCGGGGGGAGGCCCAGCCCCGCAGGACGGCGGCGTTCCGGGGCTTGGTGACGGAGCTGTGCGGGGCCCTGCGCTGCCACCTGCGCCGCGTGGCCGCCGGAGTGCAGCCCGGAATGTTCTACCTGCTGGAGACTGGGAAGGAGCCCTTCTTCGACAGGGTGAAGGTGGGAGCTGTTTGTGGATGGAGGTGGATTGGGGTGGATGGGGATGGATTGGGATGGATAGGAATGGATTGGGATGGATGGGAATGGATTGGGATGGATCAGGATGAATGGGAATGGATGGAGATGGATTGGAATGGATAGGGATGGATTGGGATGGATGGGAATGGATTGGGATGGATCAGGGTGGATGGGGATGGATCAGGGTGGATGGGGATGGGTTGGAATGGATAGGAATGGATTGGGATGGATCAGGATGAATGGGGATGGATCAGGGTGGATTGGGATGGCTTGGGATGGATCAGGATGAACAGGAAGGGATCAGGATGAATGGGGATGGATGGGAACGGGTTGGGATGGGCAGCTCCAGAGGACAGCTGAGGATGGCAGGGTCAGGGAAGCTTGGGAAACCTGACAGGGATGGTTTGGGAGCCAGGGGCCACCTCAGCTCCCAGTGCCAGGAATTGGCATCACAGGCACAGGAGCCTTGGGATTGGGTCACTGGAGAATCATGGAATGGTTTGGGTGGGAAGGACCTCAAGCATCATCCATTTCCAACCCCATGGCAGGGACACCTCCCACTGTCCCAGGGTGTTCTGCCTGGCCTTGGACATTGCAGGGATGCAGGGGCAGCCCCAGCTGCTCTGGCAATTCCAGCCCAGCCAGGAATTCCATCCCAATATCCCATCTAAACTACTCTGATTTAGTTTGAAGTCCAGCCAACCCTCAGCACTGCCAAGGCCACCATTAACCCATGTCCCCAAGTGCCACACCTGTGTGCCTTTTACATCCCTGCAGGGCTGGGGACTCCCCATTCCTCTGGGCAGCTCATTCCCCTTCCTCTGCCCGTGTTCCCAGGGAAACATTCCCCACCCAAGGCTGCCCCCTTTGTGTTGCAGGCGCTGCTGAAGGCAGAGGGGTTTGTGAGGATGGAGCCCCTGAAGTTCTGCAGAGCCCAGCCCCGGGACAGCGAGCGGCTGCTGGTCATCGTCAGGAACGAGGACATCGCCTCCCACATCCACACCGTGAGCCCGAATCCCCCTTCTCCTCCTCTCAGCCCTGCTCCTTAATGCCAGGATCCATTAAAAAAGTGGGAGCAGCCCAGCTCAAAGCAGTGAGGTCGGGCTTCCCTTGTCCAGCCTCACCCTGGCTCACCAATTCCAGGGAACGTTTCCTCCCTGCATGCAGGGTTGGGATGTGGGGACAGGAATGTTGGGGTGCTGCAGGGCTGGGCTGGGCTGGTTCCCTGGATGTGTGGGCTGTTCCCCAAGCCCTGTTCCTGGGGCAGGTGCCGTGCCTGCTGGAGCTGAAGCGCTGTCCCAGCGTGGTGTTCGCCGGCGTGGACGATCCCGAGGAGGTGACAGGTGACACATTCCAGGAGCTCTTCCAGGCTGGAGGATTCGTGGTGTCTGAGGAGGAGCTGCTGGAAAGGGTGACCCTGGGTGAGTCTCACTGACACATTCCCAGACCTTCCCCTTGGTTCTGTTTCCAGGGGGAGTTCTTGCCCTCCCTCTGACATTTGGATCCCATTGGGATGGAGTGCCCAGCTCAGGGGTTCCCAGAACCTCGCAGGACAGGGCAGGGTTGGCCCAGGATGTTTGGCCTGGAGACTCATGGGATGGTTTAGGTTGGAAGAGACCTTAAGGATTACCCAGTTCCATGGCAGGGACACCTGCCACCATCCCAGGCTGCTCCAGCCCCAGTGTCCAGCCTGGCCTTGGGCACTGCAGGGATGCAGGGGCAGCCCCAGCTGCTCTGGCAATTCCAGCCCAGCCCCTCCCAGCCAGGAATTCCTTCCCAGTATCCAGTGGAAAAAGCAGAACTTGCTGCTGCCTTCAGCTCCTTAGTGGGAAGTGGCAGAGAGAACAGAGCCACCTCTTCTGGGAGATGCTCAGTGAGGTGACAGGGACAAGCTGCACGTGTCCTTTCAGATACCAGGGAAAAAATCACACCAGGACATGATCCCAGTTCTCCATCCTGTGCAGTTTGAGTCTCCTTCCTTGCAGAGACTCAAAGCTCCCCTGGACAAAGCCCTGAGCCCGCTCAGGTGGCCCCACTTGGAGCAGGGCTGGGCCCAGAGACCCCCAGGTCCCCCCTCCCACCCACCCTGAGCTCTGGTGTCCCCTCAGGCCAGCTGAAGGAGGTGGTGAAGGTGCTGGAGAAGCTGAACAGGAGCGGGAGGTGGAAGTGGCTCCTGCACCACAGGGAGAGCAAGAAGCTCAGAGAAGACCTCAGGTAACGGCTCTGCCTGGCAAATTGGGGATTTTTGGGATGGAGCAGCAGGGCTTGGGACCTGGGGAGCATCAGATGGCCTGGAATGTTGTCCTGGATGTGTTCCTGGATGAGGCAGAGCTCTGGCAGCTCTCCTTGCTCCTTGCTGGGCTTCCATAAGGCTCTTCCCTGGCTCCTTGGCAGAGATGCCCTCAGGGAGTGTTGCAGGCTCCTGGAGAGGCACAGATTTCCCTTGAGGAGATGCACATTCCCAAAATTCCCAAAGCAAACTTCCCTCCCTTCCCACCAGCTCATCCCAGCTCCTGACACACCCCCAGGAGCTCAGGGCACCTTCCTGGGGCTCTGCCCCCTCTGGTCCCTTTCCTGCCCCTTCACATCTGGGATTTGGGGAGGGGTGGGGCCCTGAGCTGGGGGTGCAGAGAAGGAATTGCCACTCCAGTTCCCACCAGGAATGGCTGAAGATGGAGCTGCTCTGGCATGGGTTCATCCATGGATGTGTGAAGTGAGAAAACTCCTGGGTTGGGATAAAGGCCGTTTAGCAGGGAAAGGAAAAGCTGGGAAAACAAGGAATTCATCCCCGTTTCCATCACAGGCCATCCCCAGGAAAGCCAAGCTCCATCATCACCACCTCTCCCAACATCTCCTCTTCCTTCTCCTCCTCCCAGCTTTATATCCTGAGCCTGATTCCAGGCTCTGGAACATCCCCTGGGACAGTGGCACTCACCTGTCCTGGCCTTGTGTCCCCCAGGCCCTGTGGGGTGTGAGGAGCAGCCTTGGCAAGAAGCTCAGAGAAGACCTCAGGTAACGGCTCTGCCTGGCAAATTGGGGATTTTTGGGATGGAGCAGCAGGGCTTGGGACCTGGGGAGCATCAGATGGCCTGGAATGTTGTCCTGGATGTGTTCCTGGATGAGGCAGAGCTCTGGCAGCTCTCCTTGCTCCTTGCTGGGCTTCCATAAGGCTCTTCCCTGGCTCCTTGGCAGAGATGCCCTCAGGGAGTGTTGCAGGCTCCTGGAGAGGCACAGATTTCCCTTGAGGAGATGCACATTCCCAGAACTCCCAAAGCAAACTTCCCTCCCTTCCCACCAGCTCATCCCAGCTCCTGACACACCCCCAGGAGCTCAGGGCACCTTCCTGGGGCTCTGCCCCCTCTGGTCCCTTTCCTGCCCCTTCACATCTGGGATTTGGGGAGGGGTGGGGCCCTGAGCTGGGGGTGCAGAGAAGGAATTGCCACTCCAGTTCCCACCAGGAATGGCTGAAGATGGAGCTGCTCTGGCATGGGTTCATCATGGATAAGTGAGAAAACTCCTGGGTTGGGATAAAGGCAGTTTAGCAGGGAAAGGAAAAGCTGGGAAAACAAGGAATTCATCCCCGTTTCCATCACAGGCCATCCCCAGGAAAGCCAGGCTCCATCATCACCGCCTCTCCCAACATCTCCTCTTCCTTCTCCTCCTCCCAGCTTTATATCCTGAGCCTGATTCCAGGCTCTGGAACATCCCCTGGGACAGTGGCACTCACCTGTCCTGGCCTTGTGTCCCCCAGGCCCTGTGGGGTGTGAGGAGCAGCCTTGGCTTTCCAAACCCTGCTCCAGCAACAACAAAACCTCCCTGACCTCCCCACAGCTCCCAGCACAAACCCCAGACGCAGCCCCTGAGATGAAAATGAACCAACCCCAGGCAAAACCAGCACGGGCAGCCCTGGAGCAAGGCGGGATTTGCCACTTTGGATCCAAAAATCACCCGTGGGGCTGGAAAACCCACCTGGAAAAGCAGATCCCACCCTCCCTGCTCATTCCCTGGGGAGGGATGGAGAGGGAAGCCCCTGAGCCGTGCCCCTCTCTCAGCAGGGACGATGCCAGTGCCCAGAAGAAGCAGCTGCTGCTGAGGTGGTGCCAGGGGGCAGAGCTGCTGGAGCTGCTGCCCTTCCACGGCTGCGACTCCGCGGCCGAGCCCCGGCGCGCCCAGTGCCTGCTGGAGCTGCAGGTGCAGCACGTCCGCGCCAGGTTCGCCGTGTACCTCACAGGTAAAGGGATCCCAAAGCCTGCAGGTCTGAAACTGCCCTGGGAAGGGATGGGGGAGGGATAGAAAATCCCCGTTTTCCTGCGGGAATGGCTTCTTTGAGGTGCGGGTCAGGTGTGAGGGGTGAAGAGGAATTTTGGATTTTTGGAGGTTGATGAATTCCAGCGGTGTTTGGAGCCTGGGGGTGGATGAGGCTGTTGGTAAAGCACCAGAGCAACCACGGTGGGGTTTAGGGATATTTCCCACATGTTTAGGAACAACCTCCTTTGTTGGAATTAACAGAGCTGCTGCTCCTCCCCTTGCAGAAAATCCCAGCAGCAGCTGCAGGGAGATCCTGGAAAGCAAAGGGATTCTTGTGGCTGACATCAGCACCTTCCTCGGGACGGTGCAGAAAGTGGCTGCTCCCTTCAGAAGAAGCTACTGGTAAGAGGGGAAAGCTTGGGGTTGATCCCAAACCGCTGGGAACAGCTCAGGGCTGTCTGTGGGGTGGCCAGCAGGGAGCTGGGGTCCCACAGCAGAGCAGGGACCATCCCAGAGTGCTGGATATGGGATCTGCCAGTCAGCACTCTGATCCTGCAGCTGGATCCAGGAGAGCCACGCCTGGCACTGCTGGGAAACGGGGAAAACTCCAGGCCTGGCCCTGGGGAGGCTCTGCAGGAGGCTGGCACTGCCCACAGGGGGCTGGGCACTGACCTGGGCCACGTCTCTGTGTTGCAGGTGACAAAGTGAAGCCACCAGGACACGGCTCCTCCCCAGGCCTGTGGGGGACATCCCCACCATCCCAATGGATTCCCACCAACCATCCCAGTCAATACCATCAATCCCAGTGGATCCCAGTGATCCCACTGGATCCCCACCACACATCCCAGTCAATCCCAGTGGATCCCAGTGATCCCACTGGATCCCCACCATCCATCCCAATCAATCCTATTACCCATCCCAGTGGATCCCAGCCACTGCTGGGGGTGGGGGAAAGTCAGTTTTAGCTCTGTACAGAAATCTTATTTAAAGGTGGGAAATGCAAATCCTCAGGGGATTCATTCCCTGCCATCCAGTCTCACATAGGAAAGGTTTTTTTTAACGGTACAGGTAAATTTTTGGAGTGGTTCCAAGTCTTTTCGTGCAGCTGCCGTTGGGGCAGGCAAATTAATTTCCCAAAGTCTACTTGAAGATTAGGAAGGAGAACAAATCCCTTTTCCACATGGCTGTTGCTGTTCAGGCCCACACTACATTTCAGCTCACCCCCGTTGCCTCCTGGTACCAGTTCCCTGCTGGGACTTGAGGAATCCCAGCATGTGGAATCAGGAACAAAATAAGCTTTTATTTATGGGGGAAGCGGCGCGGCCGAGCCCGCTCCCGACCCGGCTCCGCGGGGCTGGGGAGTTCTTTTAGTTCGTTTTTAAATCCAAGACTGCGAGGCCGTTCTGTACAGGATGACTTTGTACAAAAAGAGTTTGATTAATAAAACCTCCAAAATAACCAAGTTTCACACGGCTCTGCTTTCTGGAGAGGGGATCCCGCTCAGCATCCAGCCCTTTCCAACAGGGAAAGGGAGGGCAGGGGATTTTCCAGCTGGGACAGAGGTTGGGAAGCAGCAAGGAGCGAGCCAAGACCATGATGATGGATCCCGTTGTGCTTCCCTGCAGGAAGGATGGAAAATCAGAGGAATGAGCAGGTTACAGCAGGTAGGGATAGGATGGAATAACCAGAGGAATGAGGAGGTTACAGCAGGTAGGGATAGGATGGAATAACCAGAGGAATGAGCAGGTTACAGCAGGAAGGGATAATGGGATCATTGGAGGATTTCTTTTCCACCTGGCTCGTGGGCATGGCGCAGACGGAGCCTCCCCAGCCCCACTCCTGCAGCTGAGGGTGGGAAGGGTTCCTGGAGTGGCACCTCGGGAGGAGGAAGTGCCAGAAGGCCCGGCTGGGAGGAAGGAAGGAGAGGGGAAGCCCCAGGCGGGCTCAGCTCAGCTTGGGGACTGCCATGGGATCAAACCCTGGTTCCTGTGTGGGAAGCCCGTGCCACTGAGGCACCCTGGAGAGCTGCTCCGAGGCTTTCCCTCGGTTCTCCTGGCACCTGGCACGGCTGTGCCAGCCAGGGATGGATGGGGAAGGATCTCTCCGGATTGAACAGCTCGTGTTGAGGATGGAGAACAGCCCGAACAGGAATTATTTGTTCTGCTGCTGTTTCCAGCTGTGGCCCTGGGCTGGCTGCAGGGAACGGGGACTGTGCCAGAGCACAGCCTGAGCCACACGTGCCCTGCCAAGCACAGCCAGAGCAGCACAGCCTGGAAAGAACCACGGAAACAGGAAATGTTTTCCTGCAGGAAACGCTTTCCTGCAGGAAACGCTCCCGTCTCACCCCTGGCAGGCAGAGATGCTGCAGGATCTCAGCCTGGAGCTGCTGCTCCCAGAACTGAAGTGAATCAGACCAGAGGCCAGGAGTGGTTTCCAGAATTTGGCTTTACTTCGCAGTACAGAAATCATTTGGAGCCTTCAGGAGACACGAGAAGCACAGGCTCTGTCATGCCGATACCGCAGCGCCGTTTGGTCCATCCGAAAAGCCACCAGGGGACAGAAAATACTTCCACATCTTGCCTGCTCTGTAATTTGTTCTCTCAATTTTATTAAGATTAAAACACAAAGGAGCCTGAGGCACAGCTGTGTCCCAACCGATGTAAACGGGTTTAGAAGCTTAAGTGGAGGTTAAGTTCTGTGCCCAGAACGAAGCCAACATTTGCTGCTACAATAGGTGTGGGCTTTGTCCATGATACAACTTTGCCACAGAGTTAAGATTGATGGGAGAGACTTTTAGGGATGCTGTCCACAATAATGGAGTGCTCAGTTTCTATTTTCCTTGATATCAGGTTTGAGTGACATGAGCGTCACATCTACGAGCTCACCAGAAGCACAGGATTGTGAAGGATGTTTTACAAATGATTAAAAAGACAAGGTAAGACACAGCTGTCAATGAGTTATTTCAAATCTGCACCCACGTCTACGTCTGCAAAAATAATAATAATCATAGTAAGTTCAGTCTGCCTTTCGCTTACGAGGTTAGTCAGGAATATCAGTCAGGAATTTGCCAGATTCTGGACAGCAGCCCTACTAGAATGAAATAATTAACACATGATATCCAAAAAGGGAACGTTACCAGTGCAGTACTCTTCAATCTCTCAGAGATGGGATTACAAAAGCAGGCCTTACAATATTGAATTTCGTACAGTGTTCATTAAGTTCCTTATATATTCATATTAGCCGATTTAAACTTCTCCTAATTAGAGACTCTCATTACTGCTGCTCCTCCTCCCCGTAGATGTCGTTCTTCTTGCGTTTCATCTCCTCAAAGTCGAACTCTGATCCCATCATCCTCTTATAAATATCTTTGATGTCGTCGCACGTCGTCTCGAAGTGGGTGGTGGCGTCGTAGGTGCGCGAGATGAAGATCTGGAAGCAGAAGCAGCGTTGGAGCCCCGAGCTGGAGCCTGTCCCCTCCCAGCCCGGCTCAGCCCTCACTCACCTGGCTCTCGGTTCCCGGGTCGGTCGGTGCAAACAGGTCACTGATGCTCACAAACCTGGAGAAGGGAGAAAGAGCCTTGCTTTGCTTTGGAAAAGGGATGGTGTCAGAGCAGGAGCGGTTCGATGCAAGGGCAGCGCCCAAGGTGCTGAGCGAACTCAGCTTGAACAGCTCTTGGCAGCCAAATGGCTCCAGATGTCCCAGCAGAGAGGGACAGGGGCTGGCCGGGGACTCACTTCTGCTCAATGGGCTCCAGGAGGTCCAAGGCTGGCTTGATCTCCTTCTCCGGGTCCGCGGTCTCCACGGTGGTGCTGGCGATGGCGATGTACTTGCCCTGCGCTGCCACGTTGTGAGCGGAGGAGATCATGCACACGTAGATATCTGGGGACACAGGGCACAGCTGCAGCCCAAAACCTCCTCCAGCCCCATCCCAAAACCTCCTTCAGCCCCATCCCAAACCTCCTCCAGCCCCATCCCAAAACCTCCTCCAGCCCCATCCCAAAAACTTCCTCAGCCCCATCCCAAAAACCTCCTCAGCCCCATCCCAAAAACCTCCTCAGCCTCATCCCAAACCTCCTCAGCCTCATCCCAAAACCTTCTCCAACCTTATCCCAAAACCTCCTCCAGCCTCATCCCAAAACCTCCTCAGCCTCATCCCAAAACACTGCCCATATCTCTTCCTGCTGCTCTGACACTTGGCATCCCCTGGATCGTTTAGAGAACATGCAGTGAGTCCCATCCTTGCCCTAGATGCTCTCATCTCCTGGTTGAGCAGCCTGGACATCATGGGAGATCCCCAAAATTCATGATGGCTCCCAAAATCTGGTGGGATTCCCAGTGCTCTGTTCCAGACCGAGGCAGCTCCTCCCCCAGCCCTCACCCACCTCTCCCAGTCTGGGGCACTTCCTGCCGCAGGTTCCTCACGAGGTTTTCCTCCCAGGCTCCTCCCAGCTCCCCTAACTGCTGGGAACTGCAGCTCAGCCCTGCTGGGCCCTGACAGCCCCGGAGCAGGGCACGAGGTGTCCCTGTCCCTGTGTGATCCCCAGCTGCCCCGCAGACAGGCTGGGAACAGCGCCCTGCCTCACCCCGGTGCTGAGCTGCCCTGCACACACCTGATTTCCGGTTGACCTGGTTCTGTGGAATGATGATCTGGCACGAGTTGGCGTCGTTTGTGTTCTTGATGGGGTGGCTCAGGATGCAGATGACCCGGATCACCTGGCCCACCTTCGTCACGCGGTCCGACACGTAGCTGGGGTCGCAGATGAGCTGTTTGCAGCGAGCCACCTGAGCACCAACGTGGAAACATCACCCAGGTCACATCAGAAATGGTTTTTCCAGTAATAATTTACTATTTGATCAATCTGAAGCCGCCAGGCTGCACAGACTTTGGTCTCTAGCATGGATTGTCACCTCTGTTCCCGGCCAGGACACGTCATTCCCACCCCAAGGGACACGTTATCCCACCAGCAAGTGCTCGACTGTCCCATCAGTGCCCACTCCAATCAGGAGCACACTCAGAGCTCCCAAGCTGGCAGCATTCCCAGTTCTATCCAGCCAGGTGGTGGAGAAGCTGCAGGAAGGCCACGTGTCAGCTGTCAGAGCAGCTGAGAGTGCCAAGGGCAGAGCTGGTTCTGAGCTGGACACATGGAGCAGCTCCCTTCCTCAATTACTCACTGCCAGCCCATGGAGACCTCATCCCAGTTCCTGGAGCAGGGATGCTGAGGACTCTCCATCAGGACATTGTGCCTTCAGCAGGCTGGAGGACAACAGCCCCAGCCCAGCACGTTTGACCCTTGGGGTTAAAAAAGGGTTTTCTGTGTTTGTTGTGATCAAACCCAAAAGGTGTGAGTTCTGAGGGGCAGATGTGGGGAGGGGAGCAGGGAAGGGTCCGTACCTCCCCCTCAGAC